GCCTCCAGCGTCTATTGTATCAGTCGGCAATCTGCCTTTCACAAGCCTCCAGCGGCCAGATTCTCAAGCCTCCAGCGTCTATTGTATCAGTCGGCAGACTTATATTTGGTCCATCTTAAGCCTTGAGACTTCAGCTTCTTGAGTTTCTCGAGTCTAACATTCAACCTCTCTTCTCTTCCCTTGGACAGTTCATCCCCGGCGATGCCCAGCAGCGCGCGCTCGCGACGCTCGTCAACGGCAACGGCCTGGCGCTGGTCAACCCGACGACCGAGACCGTGTCCGTCGTCTACAACTTCGCCAACGAGACGTGCGTGCCCCACGTGTCCGACATTTCCAACGACGGCAAGAAGTACTTTGTTTCGTGCATCGGCCTCGGCCAGGTGTGGATGATCGACATCTCCAACCCCGAGGCGCCCTTCAAGCTCGACGCCAAGGACACCGGCGGTCCCAGCTCCAACCCCCACTTCGTGCGCCTCACCCCCAACGACGACCGGTTGTTCGTCTCAAACTACTTCGTCACGGCCGGGCTCGCGTCGTCCCCCGGCGCGCGGAATGTGCTGTCGTTCAACGTGGGGGCGACCAGCCTTGAGGCCGACACTGCCTTCGGGTCGCTGTCGTTTGCTAACGTTGTGGACGACAACGGTGTGCAGACCAACTCCCGCCCCCACGGGATGACGGTCAACTATCTGAGCTGCTAGAGGAGAGTTTTGTCGAACTTCATGAGGCTTAATGAGAGGTTGACCTTTTTTCTTGGTTAGTCAGGATAGCGGTTAGTGAGAACGTCGACTTTTTGAGGTGCTGGAGTGTAAGAATCCGGACATACCCCTTCTTGACTTTGTGGCTCAATTACCTAGTAACTTATGCCATAGACATACTTATGCCATAGACATAGCGCAGTTTGTACCTCCAAGTCAAGTTGGTGTGGGCGCAGTTTGTACCTCCAAGTCAAGTTGGTGTGGGCGTAAGTCGTCAGTACTTAGTCAGTTGAGTTTTAGTTGAGTTTTAGTTGAGTTCATTGAGTGCATTGAGTGAAAAACCGAGGCTTCGGTTGGTGTAGGTGTGAGTGGGTAGTCACTTTTTAAGTCATCATAATGCGGCTGATAATGACATGCATCGAGGCTCCATGCAAATGCGGAAACGACAGCTGCAAAAATTGAGGCTTCGGTTGGACGTTGTCGGAAAGAGTCCCGCTAAGAGAGCGCTTAGTATTTGCTTGATGCTTAATGTGTGACCGACTGCCTTTTTCCCATTGAAGGTCCGCAAACGCGGTATAAGGGCGAAATGAAGGCTGCACTTATACCCAAGCCGCAATTGTTTTCATTACTAACGAGAGCTGCGAAAAGTTTGCGTGCCAAACTTGCATGCACATGCAAGCTTTGCTGGAGTCATTTTTGTTTGAACGATTCAGTAAACGAGGCGATCCTGGATGTTCACAACTGCAAGTTAAAGGCCATGCCTATATCCAAGCTAAATTGTCAGCTTAGGAACGAGAACCAGTGCGGAAAATCAGCCGCCAAACTTGGTTTTGAGAGCTGGATGTTCTCGACGTTCAGTGCATGTTAATAAAAGCTCTTAGGATGCTACATATCTATACTGTAGTCGCCCAACATCCTTGTAAGTACTGAGCATGTACGTGCGTGCAAACTGATTGTCCGGACATGGGCCCTAGGTCACACATGCAAGCAGGGGCGATCAGTGCAGGAGGCTTGTCAATGGTGAGCATCACGTCTTGATCGAACCCGGTTCTAGTGTGACGCAACGCCCCATCCGGCCGCATCAACATTTTCCGCTTTGGTGTAGTAGCTGCCGGAGTCGCGGCCGGCAACTGTCGGACGCGGCCGCAGGGTTTATGTACGAAGTTCTGTAGGCACCGGCCAATCTTGGCCGTTCAGATAAAGCATGATGGTCGATCATCAACGGTCCAAAGCTATGGGCTGCTTCGTGTTGATCCGGTTCGTCTGAAACGGCCTGCCGGCCCGGACATGGGAGAGACTCAATTTAATGAGATACGACAAAGGTATGAGATAATATAGGAGAATAGGTAGCTCCAATAGGTAGCTCAGTTCGAGGGAGACTGTGGGGAGAGTCCGCAAGGAAGAAGTAGAGACTTTGCTTCTAGAGGCGCTCATCTCTGATGCAGTGAAAAGACACTCATGAGCAGCTCGACCTCCTCATCATTCATGTGCATCCGGACAGTGACTGCAGTGGCGCCGATCTTCATTTGTAAGTGAACATGAATGTTATGCAATTTGATTCGGAACGTAACTTCTATTGCAATGGTGACTGTTCATACATGCAGCTGAAGTGAATAAGATCCGGGCGGCTGCGGGAAGAATCCTCGAAGAAGGGGTGTTCGTCACACTAGCTGGGCAACTACACCGCGGACGTGCCAGGTTAACCGGTGCAGTGTCATAAGACCACGTGCGCGATGTGCATGCATCTGAAGTGCATCAAGACAAATATTTGCAGGCAAAAATGACATGGTGACGTTCAACTACTTGCAGACGCACGGCTGGTCTGGACATCACCGGGTTTTGCATGGGGTGACCCCTGGCAAAGTAAAGCTGGATACCGGACTCGGCAGCTAGGCCGGACGATTGATCTGATCATGATCGTTCGCGCTCAAGCTCAATCATATAGCTACACAGTGACCACCCTTCTCACCCCTTCCGTACAAAGACAGCGGCCCTCTATTTGAGTTCCAAACTATCAAATTGCTAGCAAGATCACACCCTCAAGCACGCAGCGTATTGCACCACTAGAACTCATGTTTAGAAAGCCTCTTATGTCCACGTTACCTCCCTTGAGCTGCCTAACCAGATAATTACACTTACCCCGATCCTAGGCTGGCCTAAGTCATGATACAGTCTGTCTTCTCCGGTAACTTTTTGAGCATCCCTAACCACACGAGCTTCCCCGAGAAAAATGTGTACACTGTCCTGATCAGCCTTATACCGCGGGCGTCGTCATTCCTACCCGTTTCCTTTTCAGGCAGCGAGTTTATCGTTCTATTTTCTGTACATGATCCGCTATGAGCTTGACCCTAGCGACCTGATCCTGGCTCAAGTCTATGTCATCGAGCCCGAGGTTTTAATCATGAAGGCGCGAAGCCCCGCGCTCCGGTACGGGCTTTATAACCTAAAGTATGCATGTATGCCCGGCCCCAGAAGGAGCGCCATCAGCGAAACGACAATGAACTCCACGAAATCCAAACCTTTGGCAGTGTGTGCAATGTACAGTCCGACGAGAACGGACAGTGTCGCCAGGACTGATAGCGCCACTGAGCGCGTCTCGTCGATGGGGGGCAAGCTCCGGTCCGCCAGTTTGAGCGCTTGTTGGAGCATCGAAAGGAGCGCCGCGTCGGTGATCGGATCCAGTTCGTCATCCTCCTGCGATGAAGGGAGCAAAACTTGGTTATCAGGTATGTGAGATTCAGGCCCCAAGAGCCTTAACCCCGAGGGCCTTGAACGAAAAGAGTAGCCGGTTTGAACGCGCGGGGCAAAACTTCTGTACGCAGATCATGTGGAACTCAGGCGCAGAGACCCTTAAACAAAGAGAGAGATCAGGCGCTGGAGCATTTAACAAAATGCCCGATCGAATCCAGTTCAACATGCTCTTGCAAGGACGGAGGCAAGCCTTTTCCGCAAACCACAGGGAGACGAGAACACAATAGTGCAGCCAGTTCTCCGCCCTTGTGAGAAGACGGAGAGACGAAACGAGCAGATCCCAAGGCCTCAGAGCTGCTTGTCCTCCCTATTGCCCTATCCGTTTCGTTTCAAGCAAGGACGGAACGGAAAAGCAGAACAAGGAGCTGAAAACGAATCAGATTTCTAGCAGACAAGGGAACGGTAGTGCAGTCAGTATTTCGTCCTGGTAAGAGGACGGAGACACGGAATGGGCTGATCTGAAGGCCTCAGGGCTGCTTACCCTCTCTTTCATTCCAAGCAAGGCCGGTCGGGAAAGCAGAACGTAGTAACTGACACCAGAGCAGCCCTCAAACCAAACGGAAGCGGAAGCGGAAAGACTAGTTCTGCGAGTGAAACCTTGCTAGTGAAGCTGGCACGATCAGGAGGGAGTCGCCGACGTTCACTCCCAGAGTCTCCGCAATCCAACGTACTGCGGCAACGGAAGCACCAGATCCGCGAGCTGACTGACCTGCTCGCGGCTGATAAAGCTAGCAATTCCAAAGGCCGAGTCCCAGTCTCCCCAATTCCAAAGGAAAGCGGAACGAGAGGAACTAGACTCACGAGGAAACTGACCTGTTCGCGGCCGGTGAAGCTGGCAATGTCGAAAACAGAGTCTCCGGCGTCCACTCCGAGGGTCTCCGCGATTAAGAGCCGCGCCCGGTCCCTGTCACCGGGGGACAGCTGGTCGCCGTGGGTCATCACTACGATTGGACTGTAGTCTGCGAAAAAAAAGGCGACCATCTTAGGCGACGCGAGCACTGTCCTCCAGCGACAGCTGGTCGCCGCGGGGGTCATCAATAACAATGGAGCTGTGGTCTCCGAAAGGAAAGCGACAGGTTTTAGCAACCCATATGCTGTCACCGAGTGGCAGCTGGTCGCCGAGGGTCCATACCACAATGGGGCTGTCGTCTGCGAAACGAAAGACGACACTCAGCAACCCGGTCCCTGTTCCCCGGCGACAGGTGGTCGCCGGGGATCATCACTGACAATGGGGCTTTAGTCTCTGGAAACGAAAGGCGACAATCTGAGGCGACCCGAGCACTGTCCTCCAGCGACAGCTGATCGCCGTGGGTCAGTACTACGATTGGGCTGTACTCTGCGGAAGGAAAGGCGACATTTCTCAGCAAACCTAACACCGGTCCCTGGTGACAGCTGGTCACTGTGGGTCATTACTACGATGGGTCTGTGATCTGCAAGAAGGAAAGCGACATTTTAGCGACCCCGGTCGTTGTCCCTGGGTGACAACTGGTCGCCGTAGGGTCGGAGTCAGAGTAGTGGAGCGTTTCGGGGCCGTTCGGAGCATACGGGAACACCGATTCAAACATGAGTGCAACTGTTCGAACAGCTGACCTCTTTAATAATTGAAAGTGCCGAATGAGACTAGTACTTTGCCGCAAGAACAAGGTTAGGGTGCTGCATCATCTGAACATTTGCACTCACCCTTAAACTGGTGCAGTGCGCTGTAGATGCCGCGCATGCATTGCGCCTCGACGCCCGCCCTACACCGTATTCCAGAAGAGAGCAAGGCTTGACTATCTGGATGGCTTCGAAAGTTTTGAACTTCGGCAAGCCAGCTAATGCAATCTGTGGAAAACCCTCCACGGAACCGTCAATCTTAGCATTCGACTCACCCTTGAACTGGTGCAGAGCGCTGTAGATGCTGCGCATGCGTTGCGCCTCGACGCGCCGCTCCTCCCCCACGCGCTGCGCCGCGCTGTGCACCGCGGCCGCGTTCACGACGTAGATCGCGAAGTTGACGCGGCGCCGGCGGAACGCCCGCTGGTGGCGCCGGACGCGGTCCTGCAGATTCGGACGCATTTAGTTGACTATTTTGTGCTATTTTTATGTTGTTTCTGTCTCCTTTTTTCCAATATAAAAGATTCTTTATTCGCTTACATACCAAAGAAAACTCCTTACTGCACAAAAACTCGGACGATACGAGACATAAACATAACATAATAAAAAACGATCAACATCACGGTTCAGACGCTATTTGGACGTATTATTGCGAGATGCTTATCAGGTAGTGCTCGGATGCTGCTAGAACACGTTCGACCTGGTCGATGCTTCTCTGGAAGCGTTCGCAACGTCGGTTCGGACATGTTTGGCCAGACGCTGATATAGACGGGTTCGACGCTGGTCTGGACCATGTGTGGTCATGTGGTCATGTTTGTACATGTGTGGTCAGACGCTAATATGGACGCTTTCGGACAGTTGTCCAGAATGCTTTTCTGGACGTTATCAAACCTCGAATCAGACATGTTCGGCCAGATACTGAACTGCAAGTCTTTGAACGATTATCCGGGCGTATTTGGAGGCTTCTTCAACTGTGTCCGAATATACTTTCCGGCGTATTCGAGCCCTTTTGGACGCATTTCGACCAAAGGCCTTCTTGGGCGATCTGGTGTAAGCCAGTTTCAAGCATAAGTGAGATGAGATGTAGCTGACGAACTTCCTAGTCCGGCTGAAAATGGAGACACCTAGCAGCCAGAAGGCTTATTCGGTCTGTTAAGCTCTGAGTCAGGCTGAGCATGTGGCCAAGCATGTGGCCAAGAAACAAAAGCAAGCGGAGCGGTCCTTACAGGCTACTCTCCACGTTTTCTCAAGCGTTTAGGATTCAAATCTCAGGAGTTTCGAGTAGTTAGGCAGGCAAATAACGAACAAACAGTGCCTCACTTGGATCGCCTCGCGGCTTTCCTGTCCGTCTGAAGAACGGATCACCGCCTGCGAGTCGGCCACCCCGTGCTGGACCCACTCCTTGAGCAGGCCCACGTTCTCCCCGGTGTTGCCAACCGAGAGTCCCCGGGTGTCGAAGACGAGCAACCGGGGCGTGATGGAGTACTCTTGCAGGAGCAGGCTGTGGCTCCCGGTGGAAGAGCCTGCGTGACCGGTAGGAAGAATGTTAGCGTTGCAGGCTTCGGAGTTTGGTTTGCCGTTTGTGTCTTGGTAAACTAAAAACAATCCAAAGCTCTTAAAAGCAAAGCTTATTGCAAGTTTGGATTTGACCGTTCTGGATTTGCTGTGTCAAAGATGGCGCAATTTTGCAGATGCAGGCGCTGGCTCCCGGTGGAAGAGCCTGCGTGAACCGTATAGAGAAGGTTGGCGTCGGGTCGTTGGAGTTTCCGTGTTTTGGAAACCTCTGGGGCAATAAGAAGCTAAAGAGTAGGGTCTCGTTGTTAAACCGCGTATGTGGGTTAGAGTCTGTGGGTTTTCATGTGACGGACTTGCCGTTCGTAATGGAAAAAGGGGGCCTTGAGCGCTTTCTGGTGGATAAACCTGTTGTGCAGTACTGTTACTGCTGCCAAGCTCCAGACTGCGGTGAAATATTCCGGAAGTACCGCTTTGGACGCAGATTTGCGGAGCTCAAGCAAAGACGAGATATCTGCAAATATGCGGCCGTCCCCAGAGGCAGGACGGAGGACTTGCAAAGGAAGAGAGCTTTAGCCTCAGATACTTAACAGGGAACAACGCAAAACACATGCGAGCTACAGGAAACAACTTGGGACCTCTTGGGTCCGACTAATTCCAAGACTTTTCTTCAGAAGAGGTCAGACTCGCAGACCAAGACCAGGAAGACGAAAAAAGGTCGCGCAAGCGACTGCCCAGCGGAATTGACACCGCGCAAGCTCACTGGCAGTGGCGGCAATGTCGAGGTCCGTCCTGGTGTCATGCACCGCACGGTGGATGTTGTTGACCAGCGTCGACTTGCCGGCGCCCATGTCGCCCACTAGAAGGAGCACCGTCTTTTGCGGGATGACGTAATCCTCTTTGGTCTTGTCGCCAGCTGGCAGCAGCTTGGCCCCTGGGGCATATGCCTGGATCTCGGCGCGCAGGGAGGCGAGGTCGGCCGCCTTCTTGGCAAGTCGCGCCTGGAAAGACAAGAGCATTAAGCTTCTGCTTGCTTCCAAAACTTCCAAAAATGAGGGAAACATTAACATATGGGGAAGAATTGATTACTATTAGAGCTCCGCAACCTTGCTTAGTCTCCTGGCACTCTTGCGATTCCGCAAAATGCTTTGTTCAAAACGGCGAAACTGTGAAGATGTCTCAGGATTCCTTGTTTGCTTCGTGGAGTATACAATGCCTTCTGCTAACTGGCGGAATGGTGCTCAACCTTAGAACTGCTCCTGATGGACTTCCAATATCTAATGCAGCCTGTTTCTGGTGATTGGCACACGGCGGTTCTGGAGGCTTAAGGGAACAGCATGCCAGAAATGACTAAAGTAAAGCTTCATATTGCCGACCGGGCTGACGTGCAAAGATGGACTTCCTTTCGCAATCCAGCAGTAAGCTGTAACGTATTGCGCTGGGCAGACCTCGCGCGCCTTCCAATTCATCAAACACCGGGTCTGGACGCTGGGAGCAAGACAGGTGAGCAACAGAATACTGACCGAAAATATTAGGAAGTTTGATCAAGCACGTTTTAACCCGAACAGTTCAAGAGGGGATCCTTAAACCAGTGAAAGCAAACGTGTCGATAAAGACAGCGAGCATTGAAAGATCAAACGAGGAACCGAAAGAAGGTCACATCTCAACCAGACAAGACGTCCCGCTCACCTTACTCTTCTCCAGAGCCAGGATTGCAGCAGCATTGTGCGACGCTGCTTCGGCGCCTGCTGACTCGACACAAGCAGCCAGAGCCTCTCGGATCGCCTCTGCGTCCTCCTCCGCCTCAAAATCCCTCATTGCCTTCTGACGCAATGCCTGAGTGGGAACCGAGGCGTCCTCCTCCGGAAACGGGTCCGTCTTTCTGACACCTTCCACTGCATTCTCAGAGCGGTCCCCAGATTCTTTAGACAGGTCCCAAAATTCTCTAGACGTTACGACTTCGACGTCGGGAGTCAGTGGTGCGGCCACTGGTTCAGGCTGAGTTTTTGGCTGCTTTTTGTTCCGCTTTGCCTGTGTTTGCTCAAATGCCCACAGACGAAATTTCTCCCGTCTAGCCCTGGCCGTTTCCGCTGCACCGTTGTTCGTCTCCGCCCGTGCCTTTTTCTCTTCTTTGGTGCGCTTCTGATTCTCGGGCGTGTTTGGGGGGACGACTTCAGCGTCGGGTGACGTCAGTGGTGACGTCATCCGATCGGGCTGCGTTTCAGCGTCGCCTTTGCCTGCTGTGGTGACGTCACTTTCTTGCGGTTGTGCTTCGGACTGGGTGTCGTCCTCCACGTGATGCCAGCTGGACGCCAGTTGGGACTCATCAGCTGCGCCTGCAAAAAAGAAGCACAATTTTCAGAGAAAACATCGAACCCAGCGTTGTTCCCTGTTAGCGCTGACACAGTCGCCCTGTATCTGGTTGAAAGGGCACTTGAGAAGCTACAGGAAAGTCGTATCCCTGCTTTATGGTCCGCACAAGCATCGACCAAACTGTGGAAAAGTAAAACGCTGTTAAACAATACCTGTTCAGATAGGACCAGTCCTCCTTTCTGCAAGTGGAACAAGCTGGCCTCCAGCCTTGAAACTGGCGACTGGATGTGAAACTGTTCAGAAAGGCCCCCATTAGAAAGAAAGAGGTTCAGATTCGAGCGCCCTTTAGAGAGAGAATTGCGAATCCAACAGAGAGAGGGGCAAGTACATTTCATCGCTTGGTGACGATCTTCCGGTGGCTCTTCAAACTTAAGCAAACCCCCAGACGACTCTGGAAATAGTCAACGCTGGCCTAAGCCTGTCAGGGCAGCACTCTGACCCTCCAGCGTCCCCTTGGCAACGCTAATTCTGCAAGAGATGAGGCTCGAACACCGGAAACAAGTGCTGAAAGATGCAATGCATGTAAACGAGCCCTACATGAAGCAAGGGAGGCTACGCGCTCTTTCTTTCCCGGGCCGACACTTTCGATACTTTGGATTGTGCCGTTCTTTTTGGAGGCACAGGAACAAGGACGCATGAACAAACCCCGAGAGCGTCACCTATCCTCGACCATCACAGCAACGAATTGGAGACCTTAACCGGAGAAATTCCTCAAAATGTTGAAATATATGTCTCCCGTCTGTGAAGTGCAACATATCATCCTCGAACAGTGTGTAAATGATATTCCCATAAACTAAAAAACCTTGAAGAAAACCAGATAGGCAACAAGCAGATAAATGACATCCATGGCAGCTCAAGCCTTACCTTTAAGAACAATGCTCTCTTCCCCTCCGCCCATGGCTTGAAGCTGTTGAGGCCTCTTCACTGAGTTCCACGAAAGTACCTGAACTCAGCGAAGATTATGTCAGTAGCATGCATCTTGCTTTCCTCTGGCGATGAAGGCTCCGGCACTCTGTGCATGTGGGTTGAAAGCCAAGGCTGCAAGAGAGCAAGGTTACTCTCATGCAAAAACATCTTGCAACTTCTGGGTTGAAGCAAGATCGAGTAACTGAGCCTCCTTGCATTTCACTGTCTATGGGGCTGCCCTTTTAAGGCGTTTGCTCTTTGACCAAGTGGACACACAAGAACCAAAAAGGGCAACTGATTACACCCCAGTGCCTCTCCAAGCTTGTAAGTGATTTGCAGGTGTAAATAGCAGTCTTAATCGCAATATCTGTCAAGAGTCACCTTTGTCTTCCAGGTAAGATCACAGTAGAAGAATCTCTGAAGATACTGAGATAAGGATTTCAATGTGAATGCCATGGATCACAAGCTTCGCAAAAATGCACAGAGCTCAAGACATTTGCCAGCCTGCTAGTACACCCCCACTTCAGGCCTGCAAGATTTGTGCAATGAACCACCATTGGTGTCATCAAAGGTCAGGGGTCTGCTCGGCACCTTTCCTTTCCTTTTCCTGTTGTGTTCCTCTTTTGTTTTTGTGGCCGCAGCCAAGCATTCTTCCAGAAATTGAGCAAGAAAGTATAGCAAGAAAACAAGCATGTTGTTTGCATGAAGTGTCCTGCTTTTGCCACTCAGCTTGTGTAAGAGACAATTGAAGCTCAAAGGAAGATACCCTTGGGAGTAACAACCAACAATGTCTACACAAGGATTGCTTACAAGCCAGGATTATCACAGCATTGTATGGACAATGCAAGAGATATTCGTGAGCTAGAGAGTGTTTGTGAGGGAACCCTTGCTGCTTCTGAGGGTGTTCTGGAAAACAGGTTTTTACTTGTGATTGTTGGACTGTGAAGGGTGCAGCTAGTCATGTCATACAGTACCCCACCAAAAAGAGTACCCCTAAAAGAGACGACTGAACAACAATCGCACTTTATGCACTTGAAGAGAAGCAGCAACACTGGTCAAGCTACGCAAAAGAATGCTGGCTGTTTGCAGCACACCGCAGCGTGCGAAAGAGTGTCACCTCCACAGCACATTTTTGTCAGAAACCTCAAACATAATAAAGAGTTCCTTACCTTCCAAAGGAAACAAATCCTGCCAGCAACAAATGCACCGCCCTCCGCACCCTTCACAATATTGCGGTCCTTGCTTTTGTTCTTAGGAGCTACGGCAAGCTCTGGCAAGCTTTCGCAAGCTGAACTTTTGAAGCGGGGCTTGAAGCTGAACAGCCCTGAAGCCAGCCAGAATGTTGAAGGTGAACAAAGACAAGACTGTTCAAACTTGAAAGGAGGGAGCGCGCTAAGAGCAAGCTCAAGAAGGAAGAGGGTTCGTCACCTTCGCCCCTATCCGGCAGCCGCCGGCGCCGAAGGGACTGCCCTCTGAGACTTCCAAAAGTAGTAACGCCTTCCATATAGAACTGAGCAAACGTTACATGAGGGATACCGAGATTCCGATGAACCGGCAAGTTGCGCGTCAGCTCTGACGAACGGGTGCTGGTGGGTGGAGGCAGGTGCATGACTTGATATCACTGCAAGCTAAGTAGCTTGAAGTGCCATCAAATTGGAAGAGGGTGAACTGCAAACAACGCAGATAGGCGCACTTAGCGTGGCTTTTCTAGCTCCCAATTTCGTGACGGTGCATTGTGGTGGCCTTTACGAGGCTGCCTTCGTCTTCCGTGGCGTTGTGCTTTGAAAGACATCAGCTGAGTCGAAGTTTGTCAAGATCGACAACGTCTGAAAGCACCGCATCTGGCAGGGAAGGGGCGCTAACTTGAGAGCAAGAGTTCGACCAAACTCGTGCATTCTGCCCTTCTTGACTGCTAGCGTTGAGTCTTGACGTCAAGTTCTGGAGGAAAGCAATAGCCCTTGGGATGTTAATTGCTGATTGCTGATTATTTCATCACCAGCGCATGCTCTGTGGAGAGCTCTTTGGACACCATGCGCGGAGAAGGTCAGACACTGTGATCAACTTAGACTTCACCGCTTGATAGGATCAGTAAGCTCAGCAGAGGGCGTCATGGCTTACTCAAATGTGGCGCTGATGGTTGCAATAGCAGTAGCCTTCTTCCCAGCGCTGGGGAGCGGACAAGCTGACGCGCAGAGTCTTCCTGGACTGAGGAGCTTCCGAAGTGGATTGGGGACAGGATATCATCAGAATGAAGCTGCATTTGCAGCTGAGAGAGAAGGCGGTGCAGCGAGAACTAGGGACTCACTTCATTCGGCGAGATATAGCATAACTGGAGTCTTTCAGAGAAAGGCAATCCTTTTGGATGAACTGCTGGATTATAGCAGCTGGACAATTTGTCCAGACAGCGAGTTCCTGTCCGCTGACATCATGCACACGTCAAGAATTGAAAGCACCCTCCTTCTGACCAATGGAACATATAAAAGCCAGATTGCTGAGCTCAGGCGGGATGTCATCCACGGGCGTCACTGCTTGCGCTCCACGCTCAACGCTTACAGCCAATCTGAAAAGAAGTACGCCAATCTGATGGAGAAGTACGAATCGCTCCGGAGCGAGAAGGAGAAGGTCGAGAAACAGTTGCGCGAGAATCAGAGTAGGCGTGTGGAGAGGGTCCTTCTCTGGACAGTGATCATCTGTGGAGTAGCCTACTTTCTTGCGCGGACCAAGCTTGGAGCTGTGCTCACTTTTTTGAGCAAAGCGACAGGTAGGTAACCTGTTCTCAGGAGTTGCTCGTCCTCAAACTGGTCATAGAGTTTCTGCTTCTAGAGTGTCTTCCTCTGTTTTGCAGCAACGACAAAGGGTATTTCTTTCTGGACACACCCAGGAGAAGTCACCGTCTGAGCATGGAAGTTTTGTGCCTGTTCAGGACCATCTCTTCTTGAATGTTTCTTTCACTCTTGAGCGCGACGAGCCGAGAGGGCAACAACCTCCAATCAAGCCAAACTTTGACAGAGTCCCTTGATTGCGTTGTGGTCCTTCTGGTCCATTTGAATGCTTTCTGAGTGGTCTGCTGTGAGTCCATTTTGCCTGCTTTTCTCATCAACACCAATTCATGATGGACAGAACCGAAACGTAATAAGTGTATGATTCGCCAGGTCTGTGCATCCCTTTCCATGGACAATACTTATATGTTGAGCTTGGTTACGCTGCGTTCAACAGTTGCAACATCAGAATTGCTTTCTGACTCAATCACAGGCAGCGGTATACAGATTGATTTGCAGCGCACGAAATCTTTTCCCTGGCGTTTTTCATGTACCCACTCTTATGTACCCACTCTTACAAACCTTTCAGATGTTCTTGAATCCCCACTCTGCAGGACATAGCCAGCCTCAGCATCGGCCACTAACTTCAGAACAAGCGAGTCGCCACTTGGACCTACTCTGGGGAGAGAACAACGACAAGTACCCTGGCTCCGGGGCCCTGTTCGTGGAGAGCCAATCAGACCCAAGCCAGTTCTACCTGCTGGTCCCCGTCAACCTCAGCGCAGGGAGGCCTTTCGCGCTCTTCGGAACGGGAGGCGACTACGAATCGGACTTGGAAAAAGCGAAGGCTTATGGTGAGTTCGTTCTGGGCACTGAGTTGCCCTTGGCTGTCTAAGAGGATGGCATACGAAATGGTGACTGCATTGATCAGTAGAGTCAGGCCGTGGTTTTCTTTCCCATTTGTAAACGCAGTCCCGTACAAGACTTGAGGGTGTGTGGAAAACGGCAGCTTCTCGTTGCTCATGTTTCGGGTTAATGAGAAGGTTGTTGAGAAGGTTAATGAGAAGGTTAATGAGAAGGTTAATGAGAAGGTTAATGAGAAGGTAGCACCTTCCGGGCTGCCATCTTGGAGGTCGGACGGTCGCTACGGACGACCTTCGTATCTCTGTTCGGCATCGTGCTCAATCAATCGAAACAATTCGTCAACCCCGTGAGAACTCTCCGGTATACCTACTTTTCCCCAGGCTAGACCTTTTTCTGAAACAAAGTTGCTCAAACCAAGTAATGCATTTGCTTACCGACACGGCTCACGTGTGCGGATGCATCGAATCCTGAACGTCCTTCCGCTCTTCCCATGCAGTGGCCGGACGGAGTAGGGGCCGGCTCTCCATCATTCTCTATAAGCACGGGGGCAGCCTGTTCGAGGCCCAAGAACTGAAGCGGGTCGAGTGGGTGCACGGAAGCATCTTCTCCGTGGTCGGGAGGACCACCGGGGTCAAGTTGCTACTATTAGTAGCGCACGAAAGGCTCTCGGGTTATTGTCCGGCAGTTTGGGATAGCGCGGGCGACTCGGAATGGGTGACTGACCTTCTTACGCGAGAAGCATGGGGCATGACCTTCTTGCGTGACCACCAATGATCGAGGTGACTTCCTATAGGACAGACAGGTTTAAAGCGGCCCGGCGGTCCATCGCGCTAGTGCTGTATGATAAGCCATGGATGAGTTCAGCCGATGTCGAGGGCTTGACTCAGATTGTTTCCGGCTTGGCTTCCCTGGACGTTATTGAGCCTTAAACCGGCGAATCCTGGTGAAAGCCAATGGAAGTACATTCGATCTGCAACTCAGGATGTAGACCGTGTCCGAGCGTGCAGAGTTCAGGCAAGTGAGATAGACCAATCTCTTGGCATGAAGGCGCCGTGACATGGCGCCACCCGGGCGGGATGACTTAAACCGCATGCATGATGCACATGGGGTTTGCAGATTGCGGATGACAATGAACGGCTTATACAAGCTCAGGGTACATGTGACATTTTGGATTCGCCATCCGATGTCCAGTGTCCGCGGTCCATTGTTGCGGTGGGCAGCACAATTTGGAGCTAATTATATAAGCAATTGCCACGTGACAAGTTTGCAGTGCAAGACCTACATTGAAAGACGGTCGACAGCTATGCATTTTTGATTGCTCTGACTGAATACTGCGAATGATGATTATTGAAATGGTAATTTCAACATTGGGATATCTACGGTGCTTTATTTGATATCATATGCCGGACCGCAGAAGATTCATGAAGCTGCCGCACGCAATGGTTTAATCCCGTATCAACGTCTTGTCGCTGTCTTTCTTCCGGCTACCATCCACTTGCACTTCTGATTCGTCACTTGTCTTTTTGAAAATGTCGTGCTGAGTACATGCAGCCCGCCTATGACTGCATGAGTAAGCGAGCAACGAGAACGGTTCGAGGGCATGGCGCCGACCAATGACGCCCTTGAGCATCGCCCAGACATCTGAAAGGTTCACTAAACCAGTCAATACTGATTTGCTGTACGTTGGCGACGACGGCAATGTGCAGACACTCGGAAAGGCTCTTGTTATTGGAGACAGCTTGCCTTGCTCTAAGTAGCTCAATCATTCGAAGGGCGTCCAATCACGACGGTCTGCGGGCATATTGGCGCGAGCGGGCGGCCGCTATCCGAGTCTGCCGCGTTTGACGGTCACTTCTGACGGGCGCTTTATGTTTAACGCTGCCTATCCGAAATTGCACATACGACCGAGAACTTCGGACACACACCCAGCATATGTGGACACTTGAGATAAGATTTGTCTTCTTGTTGTGGAACACTCCAATCAGCACTTCGACACTTACCTATAAGCAGGCCCCCACGTGCAGTCACGGCGCCGGCGCTGTTAGCTCTTATCGACGTACGTATTTAGCTTGACAAGCGTCTTCAACTCAGTGGACTCTGAGTTCTTGGTGGCTTGTGCAACTTTGCACTGTTGAGTTTAGCGCACGACAGTGAAAGCGGCTCCTTTTAGAGTCCAAAACATACGTCAACTATGTTGGGAATGGAGTCTTCCCAAGCTCCCACGGTTCTGAGAACAAACTCCGGCGGTGAAGCGCTCGACTTTAACGAGGTGCGTATAACTGTAGCGTTATATTCCAGTGTGCGGCGTGATCTTCTGGACAAATGCTTTTGTTCACAAACTTCCTGCTGCCTGCTTGCGCACTCGTCTTGCAATTTCCCCAGATCTTTTGGTTGTCGAGCAGACCAGCCTAGCGCTGGATCAGTGGTCGAAGACCTGGCTGACGCCTTTGAAACCCTGATACCAACTGGAACAAACTGTTGCTCAATCTGCAAAACAGCTTGACACCGTCTTGGGCAGGCTAGACAGTTTCAAGAGGTCTATTGTGTATCAGCACTCCTCACAATGGGTCGATGACTCAAAGAGCTGGCTAACCTGTGCTCCCACTGCCTCTGTTGTACCGATGTGTAAGTCATTATTTTGTGTGCCCGGCCCACTCTTGCAGGCCGCATCACTAACTCCGGAGCAGGAAGCCCGCCTACAGGAGCTGTCCCAGAGCCAGGATCCGGATAACTTTGATGTGAGTCATCCGTCAGCCCCAACCATCTGCAGCAAGGGGGCATCAGCCTATATATGCGTTGTTCAGATCACTTACCAGAAGCAGATTGTCTGTTTGGTTTATCAGTTGCGTGTGTTTATGCAGAGGAGTTTGTGGCCTTGGCGGAGGTATCGGAGACGATAGACTCGTAGCCTAAATCGCTCGTCAACATCATCTGTTTGGCTTGATTATTTCAGAGAAGCGAAGCCTCTCTTTGGTGTTTCTAGTCGTGACTTTAGCGCTTTTCTTCTTTTTACCCAATCTTCTTCTTTTTTAGCATTGACTGCTGTAACATTGCTTTTTTCTTTGTTTTGCTTATTCGTAAGCTACGCTTGCTCGGACTTTTCAGTAATAAATGTTTCTATACATTCAAAATCTTGTGCCGAAGTCTGTGGCCCTGGTGAAGGGATTGGAAAGGCGGACCCAGGGCCTGATACTCTTGTGAAAGGCACAGCGTCTGTTCGGTTTGTTCAGTCGTGTGAGTTTCGTACAGGACTTTGCAGCCTTAGGTGAAGGGTTCGGGAAGACAAACGCCTGACCCACTTGCCAGAAGCACGTGCACAGCGTTTCCTTGACTCGATTTGTTCACTTGCCATGTCGTTGTGCAGTCTGTTTGTTTTAAGTTGTACAGTCGTGTATTCTATCTGCAGGAGTTTGGGTCCTTGGTGGAGAATTTGGGGTGGACGGACCCAGATCGGGCGTTCCGCACCTATGTGCAGTGGTATCGTCGCCAGGACTACATGAACCAGAGAGATCTGGTAAGTGCAACACTGGCTCGTCGATAAGGCGCTCACATGTGGATATTCAAAGCCCCTTCAGGACTGGATGACAGGTTTTTCATCCGCCAGAATATTCTTTGGCGATATTCTCAGAGACGGCTGATAGGACCATCGGCCGCTCACGGTGTGATGAGACTGGCAAGGTTTTTCTTTTCCGCGGGATGCATTTCTGAAGGAGATGAGATTAAGCCGAGTTTGGGGAGCGCTCTACTCGGGAAGGCTCGCCCAAAAACCCAGACGAGGACCCCGCTATGAGTGCCCTTTCTCTTGCTCTGGCTGCACTTGCTTGCATGTAACAGCCTCATGCCTTAGAGACAAATTGTCAACGTAACAAAGCGCCCCCGACGCAGAAGGATTGCCCATGCACTGGAGTACTTGACTCGCTTCGTCTGGGCCAGCTCATGTTGCCTCGAAAACTTTCGAACTTTCGAATAGTCTTCTAGTTGCAGCTGGAGGGGGAGGCGCTTCGCTCTTCGTTCATGAAAGCGCTGGCTGCTTGTCATCACCACAACGCGGGAAAGCATCTGAGAGACAGGAACGTGAGTTTGCGCAAGCCCTTATTTCCTCCCTCTGCATCCAGGACCTGACGTAAGACATGTATCGGCTGAAAACGCGGCGTAAGAAGTGTTTTTTTGCGGTCATTCCATTCACTCAACACGTCACCCCACGTTGTTGCAGATAGCCCTCACTCCTCGGGCCGTCTTCTACCCCCCGACTTCTCATCCTGGATTTGGGACCCCTTCGGCAGATGAGTACGGAAGAAAATTCCCAACCGACCTCATCTTGTCCCGGAACCAGATCTTGAAATCAAACGATTGTCTATCGACGGAAAAGGATAGTCCGTAAGCTCCGCCTTGAAGTCCAAGGGCCTGACTCTGAAACAGGTGACAATGGTTTATGCGGAATGAAGCGGGTACATTCAAGACCGAATTCTCAGATCACGGATTATCTCGAGATGCGTTATGAAACGATCTCTTTAAGCATGTCTTCTTTGTCATACGGATCTGGAAATGCTGTTTGAACTGCACATACTATGTGTCGCCCAGTTTACTCCAAGACTGTTGTCCGGAGCGTGGCACAGTTCAAGCAGTGGTTCGAACCGTGCATCATGCAGGTGATTGCTTCAAGATCGGTGCGCGCTATCGCAAGCAATAGAAACGTCGCAGTGCCGCTCCCGCGTCTGTATATGCTCTTCATCATACAGTAGCCTCGACGACGGGTCCTGTGAGATCAGTACTGTAGCTGCGTTTCCATCAATGCGTCCTGCTCTATATCTCGCGAGCAATGAGTATATAAGCTCACAGCATTTCTCAACTGGAATCCTAGACAGTTGGGCCGCAATCTTATGCGGAGGGACGGTTGCACACGGAGCTCCAATTGATGCTCCTACATTCGCGTGTCGATAAAACCTCTGGGCATCTGGGTTTGTGCATCACGGGTCATCAAACTCTTTTTGGTCTTCCGATTTTATGAACTATTCTAGCTTTCAAAAAATTCATGTGCCCATGACGACATTCACGATATTGTCAGCTTCAAGCTGCAAAGGTTGCTTGAAAGTCTGAGCCGTCGATGAGGGAGCGTCGTATGACCCAAACGCCTCGGCGACCAGATTGGCCGTATACGTATGCCTGGGACTAACGGGTCGCTAAATCCAGTGCAATTTGTGAAGTCCTCGGCGGCACGAGGACGGGAATTTCGCCGAAGGGGCCGCCGCGGAACCACGTGGCTAGACGCCCTCGTTGAGAACAAGGCCCGTGTCCTGCTGCAGACCCAACTCGGACAGCGTGGCTGTTTTGTCCGAAAGGGCCGCTGTGGGAAACGTGGTAGCCAGTGTGAACGCGCCCGTTTGGGTTCATTCCTTGCCGACTGCGTTGCTCTTGCGCCTGCGAGGAAACGGATGGTAGTTTGAATTCCTGGTTTGCAAAATTGTTTCGATTATGGTAACGCATTCGGGTACTCTGTTGGGCTTCTTGACAAGACTCTGAGATTTGTAGGACGAAAGGCCGTCAGATAGACCTTTGCTGACGCTATTCGGTCGCAAGATTGTCCACGGACGTCACAAGTGACGATCGAAAGAATATCCCAAGCATATTTTCGAGGCGCTTGCCCAACTCCACAACTGCCGACAAATGCCCTGCAAGCGCACAGGACAGGACTTCCCCCTCATATTCCACGTTCTAGATTCCGTCAGCTGCAAACTGCAGACAAAGTTGAAAGCTGACAGCCACCAGAAATGTCTGCTTCCAGTCCTTGCGGCTCCCCGAAACCGTCGGAACAAGGAAATCCGGAAAGGAGTTTTGATCTCAGTTTTGCTTTCGCTATCGAGTCCCGGTGCGTACCTCAGCTTCTCAACGGTCTCGTACAGCTGTCCGACCGTCGCGCCCACCGGGAGCTCCACCACCCAGGCCAAACCCTCCAAACCCCGCACCTTCAACCGCACCGCGGCCCGCGACGCCTCCTTGTCGCTGCCACGTTGCAAATCTAAACTTTCCTTCCCCGTTCCTCCTTTTTCGCTGTGCGCTTTCTGGTTCCTCTCCGTGGCGCTGACGTCACCTGACGTCGACGCAGGGCCGCTGTCGGCCGATGCTCTGGGGGTGCTCTTCTCGTCCGGAGCGCGCTTGCCCGGCGCGCTCTCGCGGCCGCGCGCGCGCGCGCGCGCTCTTTCAGAGGGGCGCAGAAGATGCGCGATCTCGCCGCGGACGTCGATCAGCTTTCCACCGCGGATCACTCTCTTGGGCAGTCGGTCCAAGAACTCTTCCCGCGTGAGGGGTGCAGATTCGCAGAGACTTTGGCCCCCCCCAGTGAGTGCATCGGCTCTGAACAGGCCGTCTGACGTCGGTGCGAGGATCGGATGTGGTTCCACGCAACTCGAACTATTTGCTTCTTGTGACGTCAGCTCGTCAGCAACGCTGGGCGGCTCGTCGACCGACGGCTTCATTGAGACGCTGCTAGTAGAAAGTGAGGTTATCACCTTTCCGCTTCCCTCTTCCGCCGCCGAAGCGGAAAGTCCGTTTCCAAATCCGCTTGCCAGACTTATCCGGCCCCCTTCAATCCCGCCCTTCCTTCCGCCCTCCGTTCCCTTTGGTTCGTTCCGCTCCATCCCGTTCTCCCTGCTGACGAGCACCCGCTTCTCCCCCCGGAACGGCTGGAAAGGAAGCGTGAAGCGTTCCGCGCTCCGGTCGACGAGGCGCAGCGGAACGCCGTCCGGGTGGGTCCCCTTCAGTTCGTACGGAAAGAAGCCGTCCAAAATGTCCGCGAGCAGGGAGCGCGCCGCGGGCGAGCCTGCGGGCCGGAACTCCGTTCCGTTGCCGAGCTGGATTCCGTTGGCGTAGATGGTGAGCGGGATGCTGGCCGGCTCCTGTCAGCAAGGACATCAGAACTTGAAAAGTTTGAAACAAGAAGGGAGGGAAGACGAAGTCTGTAATAATGGTCTTGGAGCTCGTGTGGACAGGCAGCTTGCGACAGTCAGTACCTAGACTTTTCAAGTCGCTACTGCAGAAAAACCTTCGTCTTTCTGTGAAATCTCTGCAAAGGCTGATTACCAGCTTTTGATATTGTAAACCCCTCGATTATGTCGAAAAAGATAAGCAAACGCTGTCCTCGACAAATTACCTATACTGTGGCAGGCTAAATAAAAGAGAGAACGAAAAGCAGGCAGGAGGGCGGGACTGAAAACCAGACACCAGATCATTTTACCACTCCCTATAGGAACAAAGAGGCTGTTTTTTTTAGCTTGTGTCACGCTGCAAGCTTGTCCCTTTCTCTTAGCTTTCCGTTAGTGACCCTTTGCGACAGGCCGATCCTGGTGCATAGCTTATTCCCTGACCTGTAAGCGATGCTCCCGGCCGCCTGGGCTGGTCACAACGGTCGCGCCGCCTTCGTTCGCGAGCGCGTTCAGGCCGTCGATCGCTTCCTCAACGCACGGATATCGATACTCTCATCGCGCTTTTCCAGGGGGTTTGACGACTTTCGGACGATGTCGGACGAGCTTTTCTCCGCTGGGTTCAGCGTCCGCTGCCTCTGGCAAGGCACGTCCAACTTTGCCGGTTTCATGGTCCCGTGTCTTGCGGAGATGGGGCTCGACAGGTTTTCGGTTGGTTGTCTTGACACAGCGTCAGGGCTCGAGAACTTTGGGCTCGAAGCGTTTTGCAACTTAGCCTCCGTCGAGGAAACCTTTCCGTTCTGCTCTTCGAGGTGCGCTGCTAACCAGGACGGAACAGAAACGGAAGGCGTTTTGGTAGACAGAGTTCTGTGGGCAATTTCATTCGTACGCGCCGGTCTGTCGTTTCCCGGGCCCATAACCGGAGCCCAGGACATAGAGGGTCCCCACTGCTCTTCTCCAATTGCACTCCCCGGGCGCTTTTCTAGTGACTCAGACCCTGGGCAAGCCTGCCCGGAAGAGGAAACCGCTTACTGGGGTGGGTGTTCCCAACCCACGTTAAGCCGTAGTCCGCCAGAAAGGCCTTCATCTCGCCCACTTTTTCCATCAATCGGTTCACTTTCCGTCGCAGTCTTTCCGCTTCCTTGCTGTCACCCACTCCTCCCGACTCGGCACTCGTCTGGCCTGCGGATACGCCTGTCCCTTCGGCTCAGCCGCGACTTCACTGCTGACCCCTGTCTCGAACCCGCTTCCGTTCTTGGCTGTAAGTTCAGTCTTACAGTCGCTCTTAAATCCACCTTCGCTACCGGAAGAAAACCCGGTCTCGACGTTGACCCCGTTCTCCGTAAAGGCACTCTCATTCGCCACCTCCCGAACCAGACCCTCCGTCCCTTCCCCTTTCTCCACCTTTGCGCTTCCGCTCCCCTCTCTGCGCAGCGCTGCATTTTCGTGCTCCAAGTTCTTAACCCGCTCCTGTAACTTCCGCACAGACCTGGCCATCTCGACCAACTCCTTTTCCCTCCTCCGAATTTTCTCTAGCAGCCCCTCCTCTCGGTTAGCGTTCTCCGATTAGCTCTGCCAGCTGTCGTGTCTGTTCAGCCAATAAACGCCGCACCTCCGCTTCACGAGCTCTGCTTCCAGCCCGATCAGACTCAGTTTTGAACAGTTCTGCTTTGCCTCTGAACAGTTCCGCCTCCACTTTTGCAGTTTGCGGGTTAACTCGGTAACGAGACTCTCCGTTGGCCCGCCCGCCCACTTGAGCCCCTCGCCTTGACAGCTGGCAATCGAGACGGCGTCGCTAACTTCTGCTACATTTTCTACATTCGCAACTCCGAGGGTCGGATTTCCTTTCTCTCCACTCTTCTCTGCAGATCTCTCTTTCGTTCTGACCGTTGAACTAAGAGCGGCTGATATTTTTGAAAGCTCGTTTCGGGGCCAGTGCTCCCACTTGATGACCGCCGCCGCACCTCCGAACCTGCCCTAACCTTCCTTGAACCCTTGCCTCTTAACCCATTGGTTTGGGTCTCTTCTTTCAACTCCATCTCAGTCTCGCCCCTGAAGCCCTTACTGTTCAACCCACCCTGACCCGCTTCTAACTTTGTGACAGCTGTACCAATCTGGCGCGCATTGCCAAATGCGCTCGCAGGCTCCTTTCTCGCCAGAGGTGACGTCACGCTCTCCCCGTCCGAAGAAGACCGTCCGGACACGCGCCCGCAATCCGGGAGGGCGATCAAAGTAGTCAGCGTCGGGGCATACGAGTCGCCAAAGACGTCGGGCGCAGCGCCGAAGCGCGCGTCCGATATTGCTGACGACGAATTGGGCTCCCAACTGCTCGAGAATAGTGGCCGTTGGCTCTTGGCTGACGCCACGCTCAATTTTGACGTCATGCTCTTTGCTGACGTCATGCTGACAGCAGGCTTCCCAAGCTGGGCCTTTCCGGACTTCTTGCTTGCGGTACTGCTCGACTCTAGGGGCGCTACTAACGTGCTGGTCGGCGCCATCCTATCTTCCACTGCACGCCTCTCCTTTGACACCGGCATTACGACCGGTGCCAGCATTGGCCCTCGGTTTGGACACAACAGAACGGTCCTGACTGGTGGGATTGCAAACGTCGGCGGCGGTGTCAAAGACCGCAGCCTCTGGGGGTGGCGGCGGGTCTGCTAGAAGGTCCTTGAGAAGCCGTTGTGTTAGATACTGGTCTCCCAGATCTCTCTGCCGTGTTCGTGTTGGTTGACAAACGGCTTGTGCGAATGGGGTTGCATGCTGAAGTGTACACACACTGTGGCACAGAGTAGCAAGCTTCTCGTCTCGTACCCCGCCTTCTTAAAAGATATCTTTCCTTCATATTGACCGGCCTTTCGTCCGCCTTTCGTCGGTGTTGCAGCAGTGGCCTGGGAGGAAGCAGAGGAAGCCGCGAAACTGAGCTCAGTGTTAAGAAGTGCCTCGTCCCCGTACTCTGGACTGAACCATTTGGATCGTCAAAGCTTTGGGGTACTGCTTACTCAGAATGGTCCTAGACTCCTAAGCTCTCTTGCAAGCAGGCTGTGTACATTGAAATCCCACTTCTGATGGGGTTTTCACTCGAGTTGTAGCCTCGTTGCCTAATTCAATATGCAATCAGGGCCCACTGCCGGGAGCCGCATGCTTCAACAGGTTTTTTTGAAGCTGCGATCAGGGCATTATCGAATTGAGGAGACTGCACAACTCTCCTGACAATCACATCATCATGTGGGCCGCCAGTATACACATTCATCACTACAATACTTCTGGTACTCAAATATTACTCGCAGGGCCAGCAATGTCAACCGACTGATGACTTGCCGTCTATGGCCCGTGCCTCGGAGGCCTGAGCCTGAGGCCCACCCCGTGTTACCCGGATATGCGTTTATAACGCCCTTCTAGCCGAAGAAATTCCACCGAGATATTGCTTCATTGCTTCATTGCTGCATATATAACGAAATACCAAGTTGGATCGACATGGGCCGAGAATTTCCCTGGAGATTATAAAAAGCCACTAGCTTGCAATGATGGGCTCCTTAACTGGGCAGCCCGCATCAAGGCTATCATTTTCGCATCACATGAATCATGCATGCGAGTCAGTCGTTGCTGGACGGTGCCATGGCGCGCTTATATAGCTAAGCTCGAAACACATCGAATAAATATAGCACCGGCTCTAGAGCCGACGTACCGTCCTAGTACGAGGTAATCTGCGACCTCCGTACATGCCTTACAGCACTCTCGAGACGTATCAATCCGATCCGCCGGCCAAGCAGAACTGGCACAACTGTCGCGGAACATGCTCGAATGCTCATAAGTTCAAGAACGTAAGTCATAGTGTCAAATTACATATGCTAAATCGGTCTTCGTGGTTCCAAGATATAAATACAGTATGGTTTCTTCGATGGCTTGTTCGACGTATTGGCCCGCCTAGCTTGCATGCTGAGCTTTTTGTGTCGGTCTGTCATTGCCTTCGGTTATCTTCTTATACTTTAATTTGAATATTCCAAGCCGACACATATCTCAAGCGACGATAACTTAACAACTCTCTATCACATCATACCAACGAAGATTCTCCAGCACCACCGCCGCCTCCCTCCGCACTGCCTCATTCTCACTGGACTTTAGCCTACGGAGCATCTGCATGCTCCCCGGCATTGCAGCTATGGCCCTCGCGTTTGCTGCTGTGGCCCTCTCGTTTGCTGCACCCCTTGTCAGTGTCCGGAGCACCGATGCTGCTTTCTCTTGCACGCCCTCACTTCCGCTCTCCAACAGGGTTACCAGTCTCTCCAAGCTCCCCGGCACCTCCGCAATGGCCCCATGAAACCGATCGTCAATTGCCAGTTTCTGGAGCGCCCCTGCCGCAGACGCTTGCACGCCCTCGCTCCTGCTCTCCAGTAGGGCCACCAACCTCTGCAAGCTCCCCGGCACTGAAACTATGGCCCTCTTGTTTGTAAAATCGGTCGCCAGGTTTTGGAGCGTCCACGCTGCTTGCTTTTGCACGGCCTCGCTCCCGCTCTCCAGCAAGGCGACCAACCTCTCCAGGCTCCCCGGCACTGCAGCAATGGCCCTTTGGTTTGCCACGTCAAGCGCCAGATTGCAGAGCGCCCCGGCTGCAGATGCTTGCACGCCCTCACTTCCGCTCTCCAACAGGGTTACCAGTCTCTCCAAGCTCCCCGGCACTACAGCTATGGCCCTTTGGTTCGCGGCATCGACCGCCAGATTGCAGAGCGCCCCTGCTGCAGACGCTTGCACGCCCTCACTTCCGCTCTTCAATAGTATTACCAGTCTCTCCAAGCCCCCCGGCACTAGAGGTATGGCTCTTTTGATCGCATCGTCCCCATCTGCCAGGTTCCGGAGCGCCCCCGCTGCAATCTTTTGCACGCCCTCACTCCGGTTCACCAGCAGGCCCACTAACTTATGCAGGCTCCTTGACACTTCCGCTATGGCTTGTTCGTCACGTCAACCGCCAGATTCTGAAGCGTCCCCGCTGCCTTCATTTGCACGCCCTCGCTCTCATTGTCCAGCAGGCCCACTAGCTTTTGCAGGCTCCCCGGCACCGCGGCAATGGCCTTCTTGTTAGCCGCGTCGACCGCCAGGTTTTCAAGCTGTTGTAGGGTTTCCAACAAGAGAAAGGAATCATCGGTGTCTAAATCACAGACAAGCCTTATGATTGTGCTAGATGCCGTATCCTCCTCAGTGCTTCTCCCACCTGTACTTGAAGGGAAGTGTAGAGGGCTGGAAGGTGTGACAGGGGTTCTTGCTGACTGGTTGGATGATTGCCACTCGGCAATCTCTACCCTCAGGTCTAACACTCTGATGAGAATTTTGGGGTCAATGGGGACACGATTGACAGGGCACGTGTCATGATTCTTGAGCCAGCGCTCGATTGCACTCCTCTCATAGACGCGTCCAGAGGTCACAATGACCGGGTCTAACATAATGTCCTTTGTCAGGGGGCACAAGAATCTATCCGGCGCTGCCGGGGGTTCCAAAGTCATATGCGTCGTTGTGGAAATCAGATCTGCAATCTGCCTCAAATACTCCTCCTCCGACGCCAACTTATGTGCTGCCAGCATTTGCTGTTCCTCCCCCATGATGCCCAGTAGCCTAAGCATCTGATCCCTCTCAGCATTGTTTGCTGACACTTCCTCTCGAAAAGCTGCCAGCTCTCTTTCCGTGAAAACTCCCTGCCTGCTGAGCTCTTGGATTGTAACGGCACGACTGCGCACCGACTCCCGGCTGCGCGCTGAACTCGCGGCCGCGCATCGTCCGTTATTATACGCTATCGACTTATTGAATCACTACACGCCACGTGTCCAGGTTACTGCTTCACCGCGTGACCGTCCGATAACGACCCACGTGCCACCGCGCGCC